GATTTATGTGAAGTCTCATAATAACGTTATATTGAAAACTTTAAAAACAGGTACTGTCTGGTGGCAAATCAAATAAACTGGCAAAGCCCTTGGTCCTACCCATGTACTTTATTATCAGTTTTTACTTTTGATGACCGCTGGGTTAAAGGATTACATATTACAATATATTTTAATATAACATCTTTATTATAAATTTTAAAAAATACCAACCTAATAAAATATAAGGTAAATAAAATATAAAAGAGTAGGAACCCCTTCAAACTAATGTAAAATGGTAAAATATAGTAAATAAAGTTGACATTAAAAACAATAAATTATGTTCAAACAATCAAACACTTAAATAAAAAAAATGAAACCACTAGCCTACTATAGGCTAATAGAAAATATATTAAGTGTCAAGTGATATTATAAGTTAATAACTATTATAAAATAACTCAATGATCATTATCTTCATCAAAGTTTCAAGCTCTTAATTTTCAACTTCATCACTATTTCTGAAAATAGTGTAGACTCTTACTTAACTATAGTCTAAAAATTATTAAGTATTAAGTATTTTATATTACAAAATCTATAGCAATAATAGTAGGTACATTTTGCATCAAAGAGTAAATAATCTGTAGGTATTGAAAAAAATCTATATTATGCCATTAGTACGTATTTCATCAACTCATTATTTTAATATCGGTTTTGAAATAGGAAATAGGTAATATGTTTTCACTCGATTTGATGACGCCTATCGATTCCTCGATATTTTAAATGTATAAATCAATGTGCAACTCAATTTTAACAAAATTGCCAATTACATACGTCTATTGTTATCATTATTATTACCTACGTACCTACGTCTTGCATTGTCGCCCACAATTTAAGTTAGCTAACAACGGCAACAGTGTAATGGACCTCATAACGCTGACCCTTCACTAAACTTATGAAATACACAACTTAAAGGATCTCTTTAAGTCCAGTTATCATGTGTCTAGTCCAACATACACTGGAGCTCGCAAAGTCTACATTGGAAAAAAATATAAATTGAGTATGTCCGTGTATATTATTGAAAACTATTTATATAAATGTATTATAAATTAATTACTGTTTGTCCCGCATAAAAATAATTATTATTTATGGTGGATCTCACAACGTCACCATTTATAGGTGGATCTCATTGAGTACGTTAAGTCTGTATGTGTGTGTGTGTGTGTGTGTAGAATACTTAGCAATATTATTATGGTATAATAATGATGTGTATATTTTAGATTACTTTATTGTATAAGAATTATGAACTCTTAATTATTCGTCGTGTACACAAAACAGCTGCACTGTCGTTGGCATATTTAGCCAATTTAATCGTCAAACATTTCATAGTAAATAATATAACGTTATCTGCAAGGACAAATGTTTTTAATTTTTTTAATACCCAATCGAAAATAAAATTTATGAAATGCTAACACACACTTGTTGGGCGAATATTATGAATTGGATAAATCACAATAAATTCATTTACATGACAGAATTATATTATTTGATAGAATCATTTTTATTTTTTTTTGGCGTGGGAACAAGTAATGCGACAGGGAATTTATTAAAACAAATTCCATTGAAACATTACTTTTGAAATACCATACGCGTTCTCGTAAAATATTTGGTTTTCTGACTGATAGTTCGATTAATACGAGTGGGAGCAGGCGACTGCAGTGGGAAGAAACAGCAGTGTGTGTATACAACGGGTTTTATATTATTTAAAATATAATCATTGCATGGTATAACGAACATGTATACTCGTCTGGGTCTTAGATGTACAAAACCTTTTTGAAACCATAACCGTTTGACACACGCACACATCTCATTATCGTACCACACACAAACTAAACAATTTATGTGTATACTTATTATATTTTCAATTTTCAAATAATCAACCGTGGAAACAAACCTGCTGCACAGTGCCACGGGTCAATACCCATAATGCATAATAATAAAAAAATATACAATAATAACATAAATAATAGAACCCTCGGACAACATGAGACAGAAATTGCAGCATGGCAATCCAGGATTGTCTGTCCCAACTATGTATAATTCTGTGATTTACTGGAATTGATTTCCCGTAATGGATTTTTCCGGTCGGTTCGACTTCGTTGTTTTCATATATAGAAAATGCGCGTATGCGTAAAAAAAACTTCAGTGTCGGAAAGATAGTGTTTGAAATGTGAAAATTCCTAATGCGTCGAGAATTACCTTAAAAACTTTCCCCTGCCGATTAGACTGTAGTCCGACGACCATATTATATATGGTCGGCATACGTTTATATATAGGTGTACAATGAGTGCCGCCAATACGCAAGTAAAAGTGAATTCGCTCACATTGTATATGTGTATCATGTAAATGTGACAAACAAAATAAGCTCATCTCGTCGATACCGCGTTTAATAAGCAACCGAGGAGAATACTCAAATCTGATGGTATGGATAAATCGTTCAATATTATTATGCAGGTATATTATATTAGGTATGTGTTTGAAGACAATGATACAATTTAATATTTATATCTCTTATATATTTTATGGTAATTTGGGTTGTGGACGTTATTGGGATACGATACTGCAGTTAGGGTTATTATCACGTGAGAGCGAGCGTCTTATCTTGCATAATGCAGTCGAGTGACCCATACAAAAACATAATATAACACACGTGCGCACAAAAAAAAGCCATAATCGACGAAAAGTGAAACGACAATCACGGTCACCGCCACCGACGTCCGACAATCCGTTTGAAATGCATGTGTCATGCGCGCGTTCTCAGCCACTCCTTAGCCCACACTTGTGAGTTGTAATATTATATTATACAGGGTGATTCACCAACCATGTCCACCCACCCTTGTTTCCTTTAATAGTGTAGTTATTTGAAATTTGATTTTTATAATTTTTTTAAATAGGTATGCTTAAATATCGTATTTTCGAATAAGGTAGGTACTTCAGATTTTGTACCACTTATTTAGGGATGTCCTGTGACGTTACAAACTTTTTTTCCAAATTAGAACCATTTTTTTTTTTACTTTAATTTATGTAGTAGATCATTTTTTGACAACTTGGATGTATCTCAATCAAAATTTGATAGAGTAATTTATGAGTTATTGAAATGTATATTATACAAAAGTTATTATTTGTCCTTATAAATTGTATTACAAAAATAATATACAATATAAATTAGATGTAATATTGAATCTTGTATGTTTACAAATTATAAAACGTTGATGGATTGATACTAATAATTACTATAATTTTTAAATCATAATAGCGTCTATGTTTTCCAAACCTTATATCAAGAACCTATATTGTTATCCTTAGTATACATAATCATAGTGAATAGCTCGAAAACTCCTCATTTGAATTTTGATTTAAATATATCAAAATTCTCAAAAAATAATTTACTAAATAATATATAAATCGAAAAAGTAGGGTCCTCATTTGAAAAACAAAAGTTTATATGGTCACAGAACGCTCCTTATATAATATGGAACAAGAAGTTTCAGGTGTATTTAAAAATTCCATAATTCAGTGAATAACAACGTAATTAAATTAAAAGAGGCTGGACATGCTTGATGAATAACCCTGTATAATGTTAATATATATTATATTATGTGTACCGGCTAAATCGTACAATAACGTATTTATGAAATGTCTAAAAACTCAGGCCACCATATTATGCATACCTATATAGCAAGTATAAGAGTACTGTATGACGCACGATACGTGTATGTATATTATGTGTCTATGGCCTGTGTCGACGACCCTAGTTGTCGTATTCTCCACATAGCAAAGCCGAATAATATTATATAATAGACGCGCGTTGTACTCGTCGTGACAATCGTCATGGTCCCCGTGGTCGTCGCGTCTCCCGAACCATTTCGTAATTAGTCACACGCACGATATATAATACACGGCAGGGACAATATTACAATTATTATTTTGTATACACCGCTTCACTATAAATATGGATAGCCAGGACGTATAGGCTGGTGTATTGTGTATAGCCGCTGCGGCTGTGCGCTGTGCACGTGAGGCGGAATTATTGGATGTCTAAAAAATTTGAAATATGGTTGGGAAAAAACGGAATGCGTTTCAGTGACGGTAATACGAACCCCACAATGACATAATATACATTATACACAATATTAATATATACCCGATATTATGGGCGAACTGAAATCTCGCCCGCTTATCTCTGTCTGGCGGTAAGTACGTGAAAATATTAACGTTTATGCGTGATGCTAGATAGATGGATGGATAGCGACGGAGTGGAGTGGAGACAATAGAATTCGAATAGGTTGTTCGTAACTCGCATTAATATTGCTATCGGAGTAGTCCGAAAAAAAGCCCAACCCTGGAGAAAAAACCTAAGAGATTATAAGTTGGATATAACTGAGCCTAAACAAACCCTGCAGCGAAACCTTTATCAATAGATTTTTGTGTTTGGTCTAAAATAATAATATGTTTTAAACAAAAATTCGTAGTGATATTGGTAAATATTTAACAAAATAACTACCCATACGCGATACACCCTCGAACGAAGAGTTACGACATTTTGTATTATCAGTTTAAATACAAAAGTCAAAACGTTAAACAATGAACTGGAAAGCCTGAAAGCCCATAAGCTGCTTTCTATAATATACGTACTAATAATAGCTATCGTCAGTTTTAAATCATATAATCATTACTAGATAGGTGCATCGCGTGTATTCTAAGTAAAAAAAAAAGATGATAATAATAATGTAAGACTAATATCGTATCGAATATAATGATAATATAGCTAGAGCATATAATATAGAGAAAATGGCAACAAGAATAAACATGATATTATTGTCATAAATAATAAAATATATTGTAAATTTAAGGGGAAAAACGTACAGCCAACTTAAATAATATTATAATATGATATAGAAACTCAAAATATTTCATTTGGTATCGTATTACTTTTTGGATTTTGATCCAAATGACGTGAAAACTTTTCAGAAAATAAAAATAAAAGTAAAAACTGTAGTCTGAAACTTACCGTCGTTGTCGACCGCCGGGTCGGATCTGTCTTGGGTCGACGAGTCCTCAGGGTCGGAGTCGATGTGTGGTATAGAGTTGTCGGAGTCGTCGAACACGCTTCCGCCGTTGCTTTGCTGCTGTACGGTGGCCTTTGTGCGGTCGTCGTTGTCAGCGGCAAATGTCTGATGCGAACGTCTTGTCGGCGGCTGGCACGTCCGGTCTTGGCATCCGTAGCACGGGTACGGTATCCGGTCGAGCGGTACCCTGTGAACCGACCTGTCGACCACGGCCACCAGGTGTTTGAGCGTAGCGCTCAGCTGTTGCAGGTCACCGGCAAGCATGGCCGCGGTATCGGTGGACAGTCGGCTCCGTAGCCGGGCGCCCGCCCCCACCCAGTTCACCGTCAGTCCGGCACTGGCCACGTCCAGCGACAGGTACGCGTCAGACGGCGGTGCGCCGCCTGAGCAGCAACCGATTGGCGCCACCAGATGAGTTAGTACGCCACGCCGACCGTGGCTGAGCGGCCACCCTGCCCAAGCGTCGCAACACTGCAACAACGGAAAAAACATACTCAATTAGAAAAATACAAAATGACATACACTTTCATAGTAATATGTTAATGTATACGCTTTAGAGTGTTCTGATCTCACTATACCCTACATATAGGTAAATCTATTCTCTAATTTCATTTTTATTTATTTATTGAAACCATATACATAACCTATAATCACACAATATAGATTAAATTATTATACAATTTAAGTTAATTCGTCCCAGTATGCTATACTTGTGGTGTGATAAATGAGTTATTAACCTACAGATACATTTTTAACAATATACAGTTAAAATAATAAATAATTAAGTAAAGTTCTGAGTTCATACAACAACAAGTTTACCATATAAATAATATTTGATAAATTATAATTTTTATTATATTATACTTTTGATCCATCATATAAATAAGCATCGGCATCAGTATACTTTTTATATCGTCGTTAAATTATACTTAGATGTAAACCTTTTGCTGCAGCTGGTATACATTACAATGTAGCATCTAGCGGGGAATATGGAATACGGTAGCTACCCACTGTCAGGCCGACCCCACGAAACGTGGAGGCAAAATGGCGGTGCCCCGTGGAAATAATTTATTTTTAGGTATTCTTTATAGAGTTCGATCCACGACTACGCGGGCGACGATGGACCCCCGTGCGACACACGTGCGCGAAAAAGGTCAATATTTACATTGACGTGGCATCATGTGGGTCGTGAACGTAAACACAAGAGGCTTAAAAACAATAAGCCGCATCCGAAACATTGACCCCGTTGCTTATTTTATATTATATATTTATGCTAACGCTGCCTCCACCGCCTCCACCACAGATGACACTGCAGACTTCTCCAGCTGCTATATTATTATAATCGAGGCGCTCAATACACACAAGTCTTCTCGAACGGACAAGCACAATAATACAAATATTATTATAATTTACCTGCACTAATACTATAGTACCTAATACCGTGGAGTGATTTTCACTTCCGGAGTAACGTATTTTTTCGACCCGAACGTTTATTTATTATAACATTATCGAGAAAGGAAAATTATTATTATAGTCGATTGCCAATAATCCGCGGCAAATTTTAGATTTTTACCTTTTTATTTTACACGTACCTACGAGTAAAAATTTCAACATTCATCATAATATCATACATGTTCAACAGTAATTTTGGTTTACATAATTATTTTGATTGCGTGTCTGTTTACCTTTCATCGTATACATTAGTATAATAATACTATACTAAATCGAATGGTTTTTTTTTTTTTACGTACGCACGATCGTTAAATGACACGAATCGTTCAAAACGAGAAAAACTCTTTAATCGACGGTGAAGAAAAAAAACTATCATCAGAGTTCAACATTACGGCAGTATACCACTGCTGTAGTAGGTGTAAGCTCCCCGAATTTCCCTATACATTACTGCTGGGCCTCTTCCGGTCGGTGGTATACGCTGGTACCGCCCCATACGTCATTCGTTCGCGTATAATATACTCGTCGTACCTATACGTATAAAAATAAAACTGAATTTATTTTTAACCTGCAGACTGCAGAGCCTGACGGATCGTCCTAACCGTAAGACGTCTAGGACATGTCTTGCGTATAAATTAATATAATATGTACACATAAATACGTCAGCACGTAACCACGATCCGTGGATTAAAAAAAAAAAAAAAAACAGTTAGTCGTTGAATTGAATCATTAAAATATAATATGTACCTACTCCTCGGTTTCGTACTCGACGGGTTGTACTTACGTATAGTATAATATAATGTAAACCGGTAGGTCGAAAAAAATTACGCTCGTATAATACGCCGCGCCGCCGCCGCTACTTTGCACGGGATCCTATCGGAATTAATTTTCCCGGCACTGCACAACACTATAGTTGAACGCGTGTAATCGTTGAAACTCATTAAACACACAATGGGAGGGGGAGGGGAAGCCAGAAGAACCGTATCTGTTCCTGTTCAGACGATGAGGACTATATGTTTTCCGGCCAAAACAACAATCCGATGGGCACCTATATTATATCGCTGCAGTGTTCATGGTCGACTTGCGAGTCCCCGGTAGCGCGGCGGCCTATATATTTCGGACCACAATATATAATAATATACGTCTTTGGTCGGTGCGGGTAAACATGAAAAAAATAAAAAAAATGCACTGGCACACAAACGCCGCACACCACCCCAGGAAGCAATAACAATCGACCAATTTAACAGTTCAACGAACACGGACGGTGGCGCGGCTAGGGGCTTCCCGGCAACACGAATTAAAGTCGCCGGAAAACCGAGAACAGTATAATAGTAATAACTAATATATATATATATATATATTATGATATACAGTTATTAATTCATTCGACAGTCTAAAACAAAGCGAGTATACCGCTGCGTTGTACCACCGCACGCACTGCACAGGGCAGATTGTGTGTAATAATAATAATAATATGATGGTGGGAGGGGGAGAGACGTTTATTGTAATTTATAGTCGATGCCAAGTGATGCGGAATTTACGACGCGAAAACAGAGGAGGGTTTTCGAGAGAAAAAAACGCCAAACGAAAATTGTATTTCGTACCGGACGAGTACACGCCGCCGCCGACGCTTTAGTGTTATTATATCGTACCTACTCGTCGGTTTTCCACCGAACCCTTATATGGACGGCATATTATGCGCCTGGCGCGTCCTGACCGTATCGTACACTAAATAACAATAATAATCATAATAATAATAATTGCTTAAAACTCGGCGGCGAAGTAGAATCGTAAAAAAAAAGGTTGTTTGGGTTATGCGGACACGGAGACGACGTGCCGACCGTGTACAATTCGGATTTGCATACGCGTGTATAATAATGTATGTCCGGCGGCGGCGGCACTATAATATATTTTTATAATATACATAATATCATTATAATAAAATGTATAGTATATTTTATGTGTAGGTACGAGCAGATAAAACAAAAACGGAAGGAATTTGCACGCGAGCGAATAAAAACCACGTCGGAATAAATGCGAATAATATAATATAATATGACCTAGGTAAGTACCCAGGTACGTACACAAGATGATTCACCATGCATGCTCGCCACTTTTTTCTTCAATAATGCAGTTTTCAAAAATCTGATTTTCGGAGTTTTCAAACATACATAACCTTAAAAACCGTGTTTTCTAATTTTGGGGGATTTTTTTGTACTACTAGAATAGTGTCACGTGAGAAAGTTACATACTTTTATTTTCCAAATAAGAACATCCTTTTTTACTATACATTATTTAGAGGATAATTTTAATGACAAATGAACAATGTTGACGTACCAAAATGAAAATTCGAACGAGCTCCTAGTTTTTGAGTTATTTAACTTTGTGTATTAAGGATAATATGTCAATGTTGGGTATAGAAGATATGGGGGCAATGGTGACTGTAATAATTAAAATTAATTCATCAACTCATAAAATGGTCCTATAACGCTATTGTATAATAAACACTAAATCCGATATTGGTATAGGTTATATTCACATCTATTTTATATATTTGTGAAACCATTTTTAAGGACACTTTTTGAATTTTGAATTAACTACATCAAAATTATTCACTAAAATATAATTTACAGTAAAATGTTCATTTGAAAAACAGAAGTTTGTAACTCCACACGAGTGCAGGACACTCCTTTACGAAAAATCTCAAGTATTTAAAAATATTATGGTCTTGAATATAGTATATTTACAAATAGGTACTAGACTCCAAAAATCAAAGTATGAATAAACTCATTATTAAATGAAAATTGGGGGTGAGCATAGTTGGTGAATCACCCTGTATAACATATATATATATATTATACGAGATATGTGTGTACATAATCTATATGCTGTCGATAAGAAAAGTTCAGAGGGGATTAAAGGTCGCGGTCGTGTGTTATCGCGCGATTATAAAATGCCACGTGAGCTATCCGGTGCGAGGACGGAAACCGTTTAAATTTAATAAAACCGAAAGGGTTACGACTTGCGGCGGAGACTGCGCGGCTACAAACTGTCTGTCTGTCTGTATAGCTTCACGATGTAACATTAATCGCCGTCAATTATTCGAAAGCCAATGCAAAGTGCAAACCATAGCATTGGAAAAACGATTACACTTAATCAACAATAAGAGTCTGGTCGACGATAATGTTTACGGGACGTTTTTACTGCAGTTTTTGGTCGTTCGAACATAATAGTATATTAATGTACCTATATATTAAAATTTATAATCAACGAGTAACGATTCTCAAAATGGAAATCTCGTCTCAACAGTTTTAAATACTAGCAAATCCCATTAAATCCCATCGACATCTAGAAAAATTACAACTTTGCAGTAAAATTACAACATAAAACGGATTTATATAAAAAAAATGAAGTGTCGAGCTTTTATACAACAAGCAATATGCGTGATATAAGACGCGTACAGCATGTACCAACGTATAATATTATACAAATATGAATCACTTAACGTATATATTATATATATATATTAGTTCTATCAAAAGACATAAAAAAATTAATTTTTTTATAAGTACATTCTACGAATTAATAAAAAAAATGGACATCGTATCTTTAATCGTGCACTACCGGTACGTGACCCTCGCGCCCTGTGTCCCTGTACAATACGAATCGTGTATAATCATCCTCGAAATGATTTATACAATATTTATATTATATAGGTACATATTATATTATTATATATTATAAAATAATGACCGATCCTCAGGGTAGATATATCCATTGTTGTGCGTGTGTGCGCGACCAGACGACGCCAGCGAGAACATATTCGGTAATATTATATTATTATTGTCATCATCATCATTGTCGCCTCGACGATGAGGGTGATCGAAAATTAACGTCCTGCAGGGTTCTGGACCCTGACTGGGCAGGGTCAGCTCGAGATGACCATAAATGATAAGGATTTTTGCATCGTTATCATCGGCGAGATCGTTTGTACCGGTAAGGTTAGGTTAGGTTAGGACGGTTATAGGTTATCAGCTGTCTGT